CTATAGATTATTTCCATGAATTCTTTGGAGATAGCATTCCAAAGAAAAAAAAAAAACTGTTAAGGGGAATAAAAGGAGGGGGTACAGAAAAACATGACATCTTATCTGTATTGCATGCAATATTAAATATTATCCCATGTTTACTGAGCTAAAATGCATTGCATCTGGCAAATTTCTCACTAATGTCTCTTGCATGATATCTTCAGAAGCTCATGGAATTAGGAGTGCAGAGGCTGATATTACCTGCTGTTTCTAGTGTTTTGCACACATGGACTGCTTCATTTGGATTTTCAAAGATGATGCCATCTGAGAGATTACAATTTGTAGATTATACATTTTTAGATTTCCAGGGTGCCATCATGTGCCAGAAGCTTTTACTTAAGAGACCTTTAGTGGAATCAAACCTATCAATTGGTATTTCCAATTCCCTAGCCACCTAGTTCAAAGTATTAATTACTGCAGTGAGTCACATTCATGTTTTCATTTTTTCAGGATCCCCATTTGAACTTCATAGTGATGCATTTGAAAGCAGTGACAATGTCGATGTAGATGGGTCCAGTTCAGTCTCTGAAGTATTCCGTGCAGCACAAATCAAGGAAAATGGATTTATGGATCAAGGACTACTGGAGTATGTCTCACCTCCTTTTTACTCTATTTAGAAGAAAGAAAGGAAAGTGGGAAAAGAACACTCTAGCTTCACACTTTTTTAGGATGGTCAAATTCATGATAACTACTGGCTTAAACTTCTAATCAAGTTATAAAAATGAAAGCTCTTCTATGAAAATATCATCTATTTAAAAATTTTACAATCATTAAATTCAGGTAATTGTGATATGTGGGAAATAAATATTGTTAGATAATTGCCCTTGAGTATTTGAGTTGCTTGGAAAAGGGAAAGATTACACATCTTTACCTCTTTAGAGAGGAAGAGATCATAAATGACAACTATTATCAAGCAATTATCCATTTGTGGTATATATGTGATACTGGTAACTCAATAAAACATGAAAACAGTTACCTTAGAATGCCCCATTTCCACCTTATGTGAATGCTCTACTAAAGCGAAGAAAGACCTGATGAAGTACTAACTGGTATAGAAAACCTTGATAGTAAGGTGAGGAAAACCAATAGCATGCTTCAGTTGGATATAGTTTTTGATTGTAATAGTGATGCATTGTTCATTGGTGTTCTTTTGATCCTGAATTCTTTCAAGGAGATCACTTACCACCCTTTTGGAAATGATCAACATCGAAAGTCTTCCTACCTCTTATCAAACACCAAAAGTCTTCCTCGCTCTTATTATCTATGCTAGCATATGAAGTAATAAGCTGAGTTAGTACACTGACTCTTATTTGACACATTGATATTCTCCTATTCTCCTTTATCTTTCAAAATTTGTTTGTTAAAAACTGTCTTTTTTGTTTCTCTCATACGTACTCTCATCACTCTCCACTCTTTTTTAACTTCATTGCATTCTATTTGAAAAGAAGAGTCTAATTAGTATATATCTAATCTTAACCTCACTCTGTGTGCCTAGCATTTCTCATTATTAATAGTGACAAAAAAGAAGAACGCATGATACCAATTAAAACCTCTTGGCCTTCAATACCATTCAGTCTAGGGATGGAAAAATTGAAGTGCACTGAATTAATAATGCTTTTAGCATTTGAAAAAACCATAATGAAGAACTGTAGTCATTAGTATTAATCAGAAATGGATTCTATATTTTTTTATTGTTTTCTTTTTCTATACCAAAAGAAACTTGAGAATGAAGAGGACTTTAGCATTTTGTGACAAACAGTAGGAGTTGTGCTTGAATTAGAGCAGTTTGTACAACTGAAAGGTTTGCAATCTGCATTTGTAGTTGCTCCGAATTATACTTCATTCTAGGTAAGCCTGACAGAGGCTGTAATGAAAATTATTATACCCACCATTTATCCATCTATTTATTTCTGAGCAGTGCCAATTTTGACGTCTTTAAAGTTTAACGAAAATTCGTCCTGTGAAAGCCTCCAATCCTCCTTCAGAATCATTCGGGTTGAAGCATTACTTGGGCCCATTAATATGAACAACCTCCTTTTTTCCTCGAATTTGCATGGTGTTCTATTGTCTATTCAAACTTACTGTCTTTAATGCTGCTACAATGTCATTAATGGATTTGATTTTTGGCAGGATTGATGCAGGTGGGGGGATTAGTAGCAACGAAAACCATGTTCGTATTGTGGTTCCGGTACTTGTATTGACTCTGAAGCATTTCATTATTCCGTCTTTAACCATTTCTTTGATTTTATTTCTCCTTTTGATCCACATTTCTCTTTGTTGTCTTACCAGATAGTTTGCATTTTTCTCAATTACAGGTAAACCAACCAACTCAAAATTGACCATGAACGATGTGACAGTTTAAGTCAATCCAGAGTGCCCTGTTGAGGATACCAATTTTAGGGAAGAAAATGCAGTGGCAGAGGTTTTATGAGGTAGTATAAGCGCAGGAGGATCTCTGTCAGTGGGAGGTGAGGATATCCACATATTCTGCAATTAGACGAGTTAATTACTTTCCAGGCTACTCCTTGGAAGAGTTGTGCTATAACAAAAATGAAACATAAATATCTTTTTTTTTTCTTTTTTTAATGCAGTTGACGCATTATTGGCTACAGGACATCCAAATTTTGCTTCATGGATGTGTAAATTTTCTGTAGAGAGTGTAAGTTAGGCAGAACATCTCAAACTCGGATCAGGTCTATTCATATGAATCATATCAAGTATGATTTAGGAAATTATATAGAGTTCATTACCTTATAGGAGGAATAATGCAGAGCTCATTTTTAGTATCCTTTTGTCCCTATTAACCGTATGGATATATAATTCAGAATCATATCCATTTCCTTCTTTTTATTATACTTAGAATCTCCTTTTTCAGGTTTGTTTGATGGGTTTTGGGCAGCAATTAAAAATTTAAAATGCCATAAGATCCTCTGAAGGAGCAATATATCTTGTAAAAAAATTGGCATGTTCCTGTCTGAGTGATCTAATATAAGACAATGTATTATCTTTTCATTCAACAGAAAATTTTTTCTAGAAACTAAACTTACATTAAAGATTTAAAGCAACAAAAAATGTAGTGTAACTAATGAATTCTAGCAAATACATATGCAAGAAAACAAATCAACCCTAGGACTGGGAGCTGCTCTGGTTTCATTACTCTTTTTCTCCTCTTTGGAAGGAGAAATCGAAAAGAAAGTAGCCCTGGTAGCTAGAGAGGGAAGCAGAGATAAGTTACCCATTTTTTTTCTTCTTTCGGACAATGCTTTTGGACTTGGACTTGGGCTCTACGAGGGAGAGCCCTCTTTTTCTATTGGCTCTTGGGTAGGTGGTTCTCGTTTCCTGACATTATCCAATCTTTGTAGCAGTTGATCCAAATTTGGCCATGTCTAAATAATACTAATGGATTGTGAATAAGGTACATTTCTTGGAACATTTCCTATTGGATTTTGTCCAAAGAAAGCTACTTTTGCGATTCATGGTGGCTATGGATAATGGCTATCTTCTATGACTTTCTGTCTTTATCAAGGCAGCTCATTACTTCTTCCTTTATTAATGTTGATGTTAATGTTATAAAAACGTTGCTATCTTATCAAAAGAATTTTTGGTATTGAGAGCAATTTATTCATACAAGAACATGAAAAATTCTATAAACAAATATTACTTAACTTCAGCTATAAGTTTCAGTCAAGCTCTTGTCAATAACTTACTAGAAAGGAAAAATAGCAAGCTGACTTTTCCACTATTTCTATTTGTTTCGTCTATGCATACATGGTCACTATCAAAAGAATATAGGAAACAATTTGTGAAGGTAATTTTAGGATTGGTGAGAGTAGGATTCGTCGGGAGCTTACTTGATGAGTCTGTCGAACATGTCAAAGAGAAGAAGATACAAGGAGCATGGAGTTAGGATTTCATAATGCACTCCAATGCTCAGAAGAGAGGCAATGGACCTCATTCATCATCAAGTGTGATGCGTGCCATTCATCTCATGAGCAAAGATCAGTTAAAACATATGATAGACACGGCATTTCTTGGGGCATTCTTTGTTAGAATCAATCCAAGCTCACTAAGTCACCAGTTTTGTTATAGATAGATCATTAAGATTTGAATTTAATGATAATTTAGTTAATTTGTTTCTATCTATAAAAGGAACATAGCAATTTAGAAATCCATGACGAGCGTAAATACTAGCATTATAGTTAAGCAATTATGGATTAATTCTGGGATGAATGGGCATTATTTTCCATTATTTCTTAAAATTCAATAAACATCTATATGCAATTTTAAAGGAAAAAAAAAAGATACTAGAACTATTATTGGCTTCCATAAAATAGTTAAAGCGGTAAATCATTTGAATTTTGATTCATAAAGTTCTAGCCGACAATGGTTGTCCACATGATCAATAATTACTACATGAACTTAAAATTGACAGCAACAGATCGGATCTAAATTTTCCTTGGATCTCTCTGAAAAACTCATCCCATGATTCACCAAGCTGACAAAAGAAAAAAAAACAAGTATATACATATAAGCTGGCCTCAAACTTGTGTCATGTAGCACATTGGTGATGATGATGGAGATGATCGGTGTCGAGGGGAACGATCTCACCTTTATATAATCAAGAATTAAATTGTAATTTATAATGAAACATGAATCTAACACCATGTTTTTAATTAACTAAAAAAGTTGAATGGTAAAAGCATGATGTTCTATGCATGTGGACGAAGGAAAAGCAAGGAACATTTTGCTTTTCCAAAAAAAAATTGCCTTCTTGGATAGAAAGTAGGAAATCTTGCTTTTGTTCAGGGTATTGATAGCATGTATTCTTCTCCTTTTTATAATAATCAGATACAAGAGAGATAGGAATCAAAGTTGGTGGCGCCTACCAAAGCCCAACATCTAAAACAAGGCAACACACCGAGTTGGAGTCGGATGGGGGTTATTGACCATCCACAATATATGGTATTTAGCAGTTTTGGCCGCATTCCCTGACCACAGTTCCTTTTGTAACTTTACTTCCTTTCTTTATGTTGTACCAATTTCTTTTTTTTTTTTTTATTTAAATTTGCAAATTTTTGGCCATGAAACCCATGATTTAATTGCAATTAGATTACCACAGAAAAAAGTTAGGAATTAGGAAACACCATGAAATAGGACAAGATAAACTTGCAGACAAAGAAGACTCCGAGATAAGAATTAAGGAAGCCTGAGACTGTGTTCAAAGGGTGTTTAAATCAAACAACACAAATTGAAATCCACCGCCAATTTGCGAACAGTCCATTTAAGCTCACGTGAAAGCCTCAGCTAAACTTCACATGCACCGCAACAGAACAAAAAAATACCACTCTTTTATAAGAACTTCACCAGGAACCCCACTTTCTTTTTCTATAGTACCACATATTTCTTCCCTCTCTCTCTTTTCTTTTTTGGATTTTCCTTTACCATCATTTCTCTTATAGGACTCTCAAAATGACCCTTCTTTCATCTTACCAGTCTCCTTCATTTCATCTTTACAAGTCATGTCTAAATTTTCTTTTTCTAACCTTGTTTCAATCTCACACAGCTTCTTCAGCGCTGATAATGAGCTTGAGGAACCGCCATAGCCACCCCCAACATAGAAGGCCAATGTTCCAAACAAACCAAAGTACTTGTGCATTGTTTGCAGGCACTTGGGTCCGTGATGATAGTTACCCATTATACCAATATTCCAACTGTCCAATCATAGATGGAGAATTTAACTGCCAAATGTATGGAAGACCTGATTCTGATTACCTCAAATATCGATGGCAGCCTCTCAATTGTCTGCTTCCAAGGTGTCAGATTACTTTGTTCTGCTGCAAGTTTTTCTTTTTATATAAAATGCATTGCTAGTTTTGTTGTTTTTTTGTTTACATTGTGATGATTTTTGTTGTAGTATGTTTATGTCAGGTTCGATGGACTAGTGTTTTTGTCGAAGATGAGAGGAAAAAACGTGATGTTTGTTGGTGATTCTCTGGGAAGAAACCAATGGGAGTCTTTGATTTGTATGATTTCAGCTTCAGCTTCCCAAACGCAGACTCAGTTGAGCAGGGGAGATCCTCTCTCCACCTTCAAGTTCCTGGTGAGTCTTATGAAAGCTTGTTTCCACTTTATTCCAAATCATTAGCTCTCCAAAAACATTTTTCGATGAATAGAAAAACAAAGGCATTCTTTGGTGGTGGCAAGCTGGAAGCAACTTATTTTTTTCCTTAACACTCCTTGAAACTGTTGTAGTTTGGGGTTACTACCGGTGCCCAATTTTCTCTGCAAATAGTGTTCAAGTTTTTTTTTTTCTTTCTTTTCTTTTTTTACACGCAGATATTGTTCTAAGCTTTTGTAATTCATAGTCAAAAAGTCTTTTCAAACACTTTGTTGTATGATGTCCTTATAGCAGTGTTTTAGGTAAAAATAAAGGTTCAGGGTAAGGTGAAGAGATAAATTTGACGTTTGAGGGACCCGAAGTGAGCATTATTTAGCCAAAGGGCAAGCAAGTTGTTGCCAACTAAAAGGCACTAGCAGGAGTTTTTTTTTCCCCAAACTAAACTTTTGTACTACTAGCGTTGAAAGCAACATCAATTGGAATTCTTTCAGTTAGGTATCCAAATGATTATGGTCTGCTTCTTTCTCTCCATGCTGAGACTCATCATGTCCAAGAGAGTGCAATTTCAATCATAAAGTTGAAACTTAACACTCCTCCTTTTCTTTTCCCATAATCCTAATTTAGCAATAAGAGTGTTATTGACTTGAATTTTGTTGAATGATAAATGCAGGAATATGGTTTAGCCATTTCATATTATCGAGCTCCATATTTGGTAGACATAGATGTGTTACAAGGGAGGAGAATTCTAAAGTTAGAGGACATAGAAGGAAATGGCAACGCCTGGCGAATAGCTGATGTGCTGTTGTTTAACACAGGCCATTGGTGGAGTCATAAAGGATCTCTCCAAGGGCAGGCAAAAAGTTCTAGTACTATTTTTTTTATATTAGTACAAGATTTCCAATGTGGAAATCAAATGGGACTTGCTTTGTTAATTAATAGTTTGAGGTTAATCTGGACAGGTGGGATTTGATTGAATCAGGGGGTAGATATTATCAGGACATGGATCGTTTGGTTGCATTGGAGAAAGGGCTAAGAACATGGGCCAATTGGGTTGACACCAATGTCGACAGAACTAGAACCAGAGTCTTCTTCCAGTCCATTTCCCCCACACATTACGAGTAAATCTCTCTCTCTCTCTCTCTAATAATTGACTGTGGAGTGGAGCTCTAGGCTTTTAATTATTGTTGTGCTGGAGTGGAAAAATAGTGTTCACTCCAAGCACTAGAAATTCGGTACAATGTCAGCTGTATCCCTGGGGATGGGGCCCAACCTAAGTTACAGTTTTTGTCTGCATAGGTTATCTTAAGTCCCAACTGAACGTTGATTATTAAAAAAGATTGACTAATTAAAAGAATGGCCCTAATATTGAAGGGAAATGAATTAGGGTAAGCCTATGGCAACTTGCAGAAAATATTCCTGTCTGGAAAACTTTCTTGTCACTTTAACTCTCTGGCCCATTAATTTCCCTGCAGAATACAAACTATATTCTTATTGATTTATGAGTAGTTCCTCACTGTAACATTTGTGAACCATTATCCAAAAAGTTTAAAACTAGCAAGAAATGATGCGGTAAGGCTCCAGCCCCTAGGTGGTATTGGTAAGAAAATCGCTGTGGGATGTGGGACATCCATGTACATGAAAAGGGTAGTATAAAGATCAGTGTAGGTCATCTGTTATAGAATGCGATGATTTTTATTTTCCCAAACTCAAATGAGTAAAACATGATAGATGGTTGATGTATTGAGACTTATCCTTGATTTGTTCTCACCCCATCTTCCCATCGTTCATGAAATTGTCAAGTTTTATAAATTGGAGAGTAACTAAAAAGTACTTGTAGTTGGTGATCAGAAAGACTTTTTGGTGGCAAAAAATGACTACTTCTGATATTCAACAATAGTACAACAACTAATAATTATTTTGTTGATTTTACTGTTTTTTACAACTGTAACCTCGTGAAACAGTGAGGAAAATGTCATTTTGAGCCCTTTTTCTGTCGGTGGCAAATGACCCTTTATTTTAAATGCTTAGAAATATCAATATAAAGGACAGCAAAATGCGGACAGAGACCATACCTTGCCTGTCTGCTATTTTTCGGTGGACCACTGCCTATGTCTTTTACAGAAAACACATGATGCATGAATGAGCAATTTTTTATGTTTTCTTGATGAGTGATATATATTTCAGAAGCAAATAGCTTCACACATTACTATAACCCTCTTTGAACTGGAACTGGATTTTTGGAGTACGTGTAACGTAACATTAACATATATAGTGTTCCATTTTGTTAATTGATTTTACAACATAAAGAAACCTCCATTTTGTGTCACATAATTAATATAACATGCTAGCTAGTTTAGTCCTATTCAAACTTCAATTGTTTTGGTTAATTTCATTGACAGTCCAAGTGAATGGAGTGCTGGAGCAACAATGGCGATAACGAAAAACTGTTTCGGAGAAACAGCGCCAATGACTGGTACTACATACCCCGGCATATATCCTGACCAGATGAGAGTGGTAGATGAAGTCATTAGGGAAATGCACGTTCCTACATATTTGTTGGACATAACCATGCTTTCTGAGCTTAGGAAAGATGGGCATCCCTCAATTTACAGCGGTGATTTAAGCCCTGCTCAGAGGGCTAACCCGGACCGATCAGCTGATTGTAGCCATTGGTGCCTTCCTGGATTGCCTGATACTTGGAATGAACTATTTTATACTGCATTGTTCTATTAGGTTGGATGTGGTTTACTGCTAATTTTGATTATAGATTTGCAGAGGGTGCAAAAATGCACTTTACTCTGTATCTAATAGTATCTCTCGTCCTTCTAGTCAAAAGTTAGTGTAGCCTTTGTTGTAAAGTACTACATATTTAATAGATTTCTGTCTTTGAAAGAAGTTAGTATAATTAAAAACTATGATTTAATTTTGGCTGTTGCTGCATATTTAATGGTATGCACTTGAAGGGGAAAAAAGGGTTATAATAAGCAAGTTAAAAACCGATTTCACATTGGATTTCATATTGCAGCTTGTAAATGGGAACAATTGAAGCTTTTGCACATTACATGAACAAAAGGGAAGACTCTCATTCATGATTAACCTCCACCGCAAAATATTGGTTACACGCTTCAAAAGCATAGCAACAACAGGTTGATGACAACAAAAGATGATCGAACGATCACAAAATATTTGAGTACTTGTAAACATCGCCAATAGTATACAGCAGAGCATTCTGAAGTTTCTTACATATGCCACAAATCCTACTCTCAATTATTAAATTCACACATTCTGCTTCCTCCAGTATGCAGGAACTAACTGTGTATGGCAGCTCCTGGAACTTCCATCATCCGTGGTATACTGTCAATAACCTTGGATGGCACGTTGCTGAGAGGACTCTCTGAGTCATAAGCTGAGAGATGGACCCCCAGGGCAGCCCTGCCAGAAGGATCAAGGTTGTTCTTCCAGTTAGCATCCCACTCAACAGCTTTAGCAGTGCTGCATGCTACACTAGCTCCTCCGGGGACAGTCAATCTAGCCGAGTTCTGTTAGACCGAGCAAAGGAGGATGATCACTTTAGTAATCATTGCTGTTGACAAAGTTGAAAGCGTCGAACAGTGAAATTTAGAAAATCACCTGAGGGAAGAACCTCTCAAAAATCATCCTGTAGTAATATGCTTCTTTTGTAGTTGGTGTGTTGTGAGGGAAGATGTGAGAAGCGTTAAGCATCATCTTATCAGTCACCTGACAACATAAGGTGAGAATTAATCAATCCTAACTGCAGTCTATTCACTTGATTCCAAATGGAAATGAGATGCAATTATTACATTATAAACAATAGACTAATGACAACAGTAAAACAAGGACAAAAGGAAAAGAATGTAAAAGGAAGCACATTAGAAAGATACTTACATGTTGGGCAGCATGGGCTTTGAGACCATCGATCCAACTATAACCAACACCATCACTAAATTGTTCTTTCTGCCTGTACAGGATATGCTGCAGGGCATCAACGAGGAAATTTTAGTTGGATACCTTATAGTTGACAAATACCAACGGTAACAAAAGATGCTATAAGACCTTTGGCAGATAGGGACGCTCTTCATCATCAAAGGCCCTTCTAAGGACCCACTTCTCAATGCGTCCTTCATCTTTTTTTATCTGATTCATAAAATAGAGAAGCATTCTTGATAAGTCTGTAAATCTAAACCACCAGGTACAATATACTTATCTCTTTTAAAGAAAAGTACTTGTTCACATACCATCTTCGATTCAGGGTCTATAGACATGGCAACATTGATAAATTCTTTGTCTAAGAAGGGGACTCGAGCCTCCAATCCCCATGCAGATGTTGCTTTGTTAGCTCTCAGGCAATCATACTGGTGAAGAGCCTTGATCTACACAAAAGTATCAAAATAGACCAGTTTCCGTCATATCTTTATATTCCAACTCCCCTGGGGTGAGTAAAGTGCCAAGTAAGATGATCTATTACCTTGCGGCATGTTTCACGGTGGAATTCTTCCTTATTTGGTGCCTTGTGGAAGTACAAATATCCACCAAAAATCTCATCAGAGCCTTCACCAGAAATAACCATCTTCACTCCTAGTGACTTGATCTTTCGCGACATCAGAAACATAGGAGTGCTGGCCCTGATTGTGGTAACGTCATAGGTTTCAATGTGGTAGATAACATCTTCGATGGCATCAATTCCATCCTGCCACATTAGAGAGGACTTTAATTAGCTTGTTCTAGGATGACCCCAGTTCTTGAATTAAAAGTAATAATAAATGTTCAGTCAATACTTGAACGGTGAAGTGAAACTCATGATGAACAGTGCCCAGATAGTCTGCAACTGCCCTTGCAGCCTTCAAATCTGGTGAACCCTGCAGAGAAGTTGATAAACAAGTTTTAAGGACCAATTAAATCCTATAAAGCTATACCTTAAGGTTTTATCTTTTACCATTTGACGACTTACCTCAAGGCCAACACAGAATGAATGGAGCTGACTTCCCCACTGTTTAGCAGCCTTGGTACCGGCCAAGTACCGAGCTGTGATAGAAGCAACCAATGATGAATCAAGACCTCCAGATAACAGAACTCCGAAAGGCACGTCAGTCATCAGCCTTTTGGTCACAGCCTATATATATAATATATATATATATATATATATATATATATATCGGACACAACCCGTCAGCTAAAATTACAGAAAAGCAAAAGGAAAAAAGGTTTCTTAATTTGTTTAGTCTAGTAAGTGTCAAATGTTTCTCAGGCTGCAATTCATAAATCTTACTTTTTCAAACGCACGTCTGAGAACAAGGGGGTCATATGGAACTGAAGGAATGGACTCTGAGAACCATGGTGGGTTGTACCACCTTCTAAATCCTCCTGATTTGCTAGAGTATAGATGACCAGGAGGAAAGCTCTCAAAGTGTTCACATTCATCATTCAATCCTTTCAATTCTGATGATATCCAAACCGAACCTGAATATAACAGTTAGATAACAATTTAGCAGAACCGGTCTCAATTAATCCCAACTTAGACAGCTTAAAAAAAAAAAAACCATTGGAGAAATCAAGATATAATACCATCAAGTCCCCAGCCGATATAAAGGGAGGTGATCCCAATAGCATCACGTGCAACAATGAAGCTGTTGTCACGGGTATCCAGCAGCACAAATGAGAAGATTCCATCCAACATGTCCACAAAGTCTTCCCCATACTCCTCATACTATATAACAAACAATTTACACTTGTTAGAGCAAGAATTGAGAAAACAAACTAAAAATTTCAGACCAGAAGTCAGCTCTATGCTTCTATCCAATAATTTGCCAGGAGACTTACCAGATGGGCAATAACATCACAATCACTGCCAGTCCTAAACTTGTGGTTTACCAACTTCTTCCTCAGTTCTTCATGGTTGTAAATCTCTCCATTCACCTAGTTTTCAGCACATTTTTTTTTCTTTGCATTAGTAATTTTGCTTCATGACCAATAACAACACATAAATTACAACCATACGATCTTCCAGTTCCAAGACATTAGTAGCCCTTAAATGTTCTCTTTGCTTTTTTTCACTTTCAAGGCATATAGGACCAAGTGATAATGTAGGCTAAAAAGGGCAAAATAATAAATCTAGAGAAGGATAGAGGCCTACAGTGACAGCAACACTCTTGTCTTCATTAAAGAGAGGTTGGTCACCAGAAGCAGGATCAATGATGGCAAGGCGTTGATGGGACAAATAGCAATCTCCATGTTGGTAGAGTCCACTCCAGTCAGGACCACGGTGCTTCAGTCTGTTCATAGATCACCAAATAGTAATTATTTCAGTTGATTATTTCTCTGTCAATTTTTTAAAATATTATTACTATTAGTTTCTCCGAATCATTGTTAAACCATGGCCCAATCCCCACGTGGATAATCACTAAGAAGTAATAAATTTAATCAAATTTATTATGCTTATCCTCATATCTGATTGAATTAGCAGCTCAAAACATGGACTCTGCCACTCTTTTTTTCTTTTCTCTTTTCTTTCGTTTCAACGTTGTAAAGTCACTGCTTCAAGACTCTTGACATAGCTTGGGCTCCTCCAAGTTGGATATTTTCCATATAACATATATCCACCTCAAAGATGATCTCGAATTCAAGACCAAGTTTATGGTTGTTCTCATCATAACCAAAAGAAGTGACCTAAAAAATATGTTTACACATTTCCCTCGAGCTTTCAACGTTACCATCAATGGATTACAAAACAAAAAGTTCAGTAACCATTTTTTTTTCTTGCTTTGCAAGCAACAAAACTTAAAAAAAAAAATTGGCATTGTTTAAACCTTTTTGACAAATGTTATTCAACCTTTTTAAAGACACAAACATCAAAATTGGGCAAAAGAAAAGCCCCCTAAAATAGAAAGTGAAAAGTAGGAAAGAAAAAAGATTATTTGCCTGCGGGAAAGCTCCAGCACTCGAACCCTTTTTGCCTGAGAATCATCAGAACAACCCAAAACTGCTAAAATCCCACACATTTTCTTTCAATAATCAACACTCCCAAACACCTTTTTTCTTCTTTTTTTTTCCCCAAGAACTAGGACAAGAGTTAAAGTAAATCAATGGGCTGTCTTAAAATCCTTAAAGAAAACAAAGGATGAAGAGGGGGAAAAAAGGAAGAAGACGAAGAAGATTTTCACTGGGAAATGAAACAGAACACAGTGCAGTGTAAACAGGGGAAGGCAACAGATAGCTGTGTTTTGAAGTTCATCGAACGCCACATATTTATAGTTGCAAATTTTCAGGCGCACCCCTAATACGGCGGGGTTTCGTCACTTCTTCGGACCCACCTATCCCCTCACGCCACGTGGTCTCTCTCGTTGTTGGTTTTTACTGTTTCTTTTTTACTGCTCCACCAGTTTTCACGGTAAGGGCTGACTCTGTACCGACCATTGTTAAAAGTCGAAATCGTTATACCGGCTTTTAAAACCGCCACGTGTCACCTATAACTGGGTCTTTTAGCTGACGTGGATTTTCATTTTCTTAGTTTTGGCGACGCAACCTAGGCCGTTGATTCGTTTGCTTTGAGATATGATCGAGGCGTATTTTCATAATCCTTTACCAAATATCTAAAATAATTAATAACACAATACGTAACTTTCCAACTAATTATATTTTAATTTCTATTAAAATTTTAAAAGTGATCTCAGCTTAGATAATCCAAGCAATTGTTTTAAATAAAAAGAGATTAAAATTTGAGGATAAAAAAAATTATAAATATTGAGATTTAAATTTTAATTTATTAAATATCATATTTTAAAAATATTTATATAAATTAAATAAATTATACTTAAATTCATGTCATTGCAATATAGTCTAAGCAATTATTAAAAAAGAGGTGAACGAATCATCGCGTATCAAAAAATAAATAGAAGAAAGTGACAATATCTTGGAAACTACAATATATATATATATATATATATATATTGCCAC